GTGCCTCGACTCACATCTGACTCTACCAATTCACACTTAACTCTTTATTTAACTAATTTGCTTTCGCTAGTGGATCACCCCAAATCACTTATTAAGGCACTATCTTCTGTTGTTAAAGCCACAGAAATGCTTATAATAATCAGGTAACACTTTAATCTATATATATAAAACAGTTTGTCCTGACTGACTGACTGATTGGTGATCAACGCACAGCCCAAACGGTAAAGGCTAGGAAGCTGAAATTTGGACTCAAGTATCCTTTCATAGTCTAAGTCCCCACTAAGAAGGGATTTTGGAAAACTCGAGCTCCAAAGGGGGGAAAACAGGCTCCAACGTTTGTATGAAAAATCTACAGTTTTCATCTGATTAACTTTAAACTTAGTTTGTATACTCTCAGAACAATTCCAAGAAAAACTGTATACTTGGTTTTTTGATATTTTTTTTGGGGCGTAAAATATAGGAGTTTTCCTGTAAAAAAAATGTTGGGGCCCAAAAGCAAACCGCGTCAACAGCCCACACGGTAAAAGCTAGGATGCTGAAATTTGGGCTCAAGTATCCTATCATGGTGTAGATGAGCACTAAGAAGGGATTTTGGAAAATTCGAGCTCCAAAGGGGGGAAAATTAGCTCCAAAGTTTGTTTGAAAAATCCGCATTTTTCAACCGATCGACTTAAAACTTAGTTTCTAAAATCAATTAAAGAATACAAACAAAACTGCATACTCGGTTTTTTAAATTTTTTGTTGGAGCTTGAATTATTGGGGTTTTCTTGGGGCACAAAAGGAAACCGCGTCAAATGCCCACAGCCCACACGGTAAAAGCTAGGATGCTGAAATTTGGGCTCAAGTATCCTATCATGGTGTAGATGAGCACTAAGAAGGGATTTTGGAAAATTCGAGCTCCAAAGGGAAAAAAAGTAGCTCCAAAGTTTGTTTGAAAAATCCGCATTTTTCAACCGATCGACTTAAAACTTAGTTTCTAAAATCAATTAAAGAATACAAACAAAACTGCATACTCGGGTTTTCGAAATTTGTGTTGGACCTTGAATTATTGGGGTTTTAATATTTATTCACTATTTCAAATGAAAAGTTTGTGTTATAAATTTAGTCCGATCGATTTAAAATTTGGATAATGTAATCTACGTAAGTAAATCTACAACTTTGCATTCAAGGATTTTCAAAATATGCATTTTACAAAAGCAGGCAGAACAAACGATACAAAATATCAAACAGTTGGGGACAACTAAGTATACATACACACACACACACACATGCAAACAGCTGTTCGTGTGGTTGCGTGCAAACGATTGAAATAGCCAAAGCAAAATGTGAGACACTAATGTGGGAATGTCCATAGATACATATGTGCACATCTATGTATGTACATATGTATCTACATATGTATGTATGTATGTACATTCGTCTTGCACTGACAGAGCAAGAAATGTTAATTAATTGAAAATTATTTAACATTTTTAAAAGTAATTTTTTCTTTGTTTAGTGCATTTGGCATTAGGGGTTTCATTAATAGCTTTATGCAGCAACAACAAATATCAAATAGTTGGGGACATCACATACACAGACTCACACGCACAACAAGCAACAGTTCGTGTCTATGTGTGCGGTTCTCTACGTGCGGCTGAAAAAGTAAAAAGAAACATGTACATACATATGTATGTATGTATGCCTGTGTATGAATACAGCATGTATGTACATTCGTATTAATGTATACATTGGGCAATCGAACACAGTTGTTTGATTGTAAAAAAAAATAATGCTCTAAAAACAACAACAACTGCAAGTCATTAGCTCGCTCTTCTTCTTTCGTTTTGACCATTTAATGTTAATTGCAAAGGCAAAACGCCAAAATGTTACAGTTACCGTCGCTAGGCAACGACTGCGTAAGCGATAGTAAAGCAGAAACCGAATAACGGAGCTACGCATATTCTGCTTCGCATTGCGGGCAGATGTATGTATGTATATGAGTTGTTCTTATTGATGTCAATAAATAATTAGATTTTGTTATTTAAATATTCTGCTTATTGCATTCAAACTTCGATATTTTGATGGTATCGGTGCCAGTGCTTTTTGATCGTGGCTCATCGCTGCACGGCATTGACACGAGTGCCGTGTTTCATATTCCGAGTTTGTGCGTGGCCGTATTGACTCAATATGGCACGAAAAGACTCAAATGTGAATTTAAATTTGGACTCAAGTATCGTTTCATAGTATCCATCATAGTGTAGGAGCACACTAAGAAAGGCTTTTGGAAAATTCTAGCTCCAACGGGGGGAAAACGAGCTTTAAAAAATATTAGTTATAGTGGTCATGTTCGTTTAACGAAATAGTTTGTCAAGAACAAAAATGTAACGGACTACTGAACAATTTTTTGTCAAGAACAGAAAATGTTCATTTAAATACCTTAAATGCCTTCCTACTGGTAACCTTTAAGGTGAAAACATATGGGTAGGTTATGCACACACAAAATAAATACAATTGGAAACATATTGAGCCGGGTTAAGACGGGCAATACCTGCTAGTCTATTATAAAGTACTGATTACTTTTAATTATCACCTTATATTCACAAGAATAAGGCTATCCGGCTCGAAGGGTCAAAAAATGTAGATACTTTTACACTTGAAATGAATACACGTCGGTTCTTTGATTTGTACTACTAGTGCTGTTGCACGATCTGTCCTTTTATTCAAAACCCACGCTGTGTTGTAGGGCAGCAGCGTGTGGAACTTGATTTCTATTGGACAATATCTATAATAAGGATGGTCCGCATGCTGCGTTTGTAGGGCGCCGCATGAGGACGTGTAATTCTATTGGTTAGCCTATCTTAACTAGCACAGTGTTGTATGCAGCTGCAGGGATCGCGTTTACATAACGCAGGCAGCAATGTAACGTCCGTTGGTCTTTAAGGCAGTCGTGGGACACTTGAGCTAGTCCTTCAACGATTCCGTATGTTCATGCCTGAATAATTATTATTTATAATACATACTTATTTTTAAACAAGAGAGAACGCTACAGTCGAGCAATCCCGACAGTAAAATAGCCTGTACTCTCCACAAAAAAGGGGAAAAAAATTAAGATATAAAAAAAAAAATTGAATTAAGAAAATTTATTTCATACATACACAGAAGACATGTTTATCTACAGTTTTAACAGCATACATTGCCATCACGTGTCTATGCGTGTCGGGACACCCGACTTTAGCTTCCCTACTTGTTTTGATTAGGTGAAATTTTCATACCCTGTACCCGTAGGGTAAAAAGGGTATATTAGGTTTTTGCAAAGTATGTAACATGCAGAACGAAGCATTTCCGACCCCATAAAGTATATATATTCTGAATCAGCATGACGAGAGAAATCGATCTAGACATGTCCGTCCGTCCGTCTGGATGAACGCAAGGATCTCAGAAACTATAAAAGCTAGAATAACCAAAGTTGGCATCCAGATTCTCCTAGGTCCGAGAAAGGACGAGTTTATTTTTTTTTTTAATTTCCCCCCTTCCCCCGCTACAGAATTTCGTCAATAGCATCCACATTTCAAATGCTACCTAAACTAAACTTTTCACACATAATTTATATATAGGTATCTACTGTTGTTTAAAATTTTATTCAATTCGGTCAATTCTAAGAAGTTATTAACGAAAAAAGTCTCTCCAGTGCAACCCCCCCAAACTGCAGCAACAAGTTCGCTCTTCCTCTTTTTGCTGCTGCTTTGGGCGCATATAACGGAAGTTTATACTGTCGGGATTGCTCGACTATAGCGTACTCTCTTGTTTCCCTTACCAATTCTGAAATAGCTTGCTTTTTTTATAGCCTGTACCCAAAGGGTAGAAGGCTATATTAGTTTTGTGCGCATGTATGTAACACACAGAAGGAGGCGTGGCAGACCCCACAAAGTATATATATTATTGATCAGAATGACAAGACGAGTCGATCTAGCTCTGTCTATCTGTCCGCCTGTGCGTCCGTATGAGCACCTGTATCTCAGAGACTATAAGAGATAGAGACACCAAATTTTGCACAAAGATGCCTTATGTGTGTACGCAGTGCAAGTTTGTTTTATTTTTTTGATTTTCCCTCCGCACTTCCACCTAATGGGGCTTTTTCCGATTTTCCATTCGTATAACCACCTATATCTCGGAGCCTATAAGACCTAGGGACAACAAATTTTAGTCAAAAATGCCTTATGTGAATACGCAGAAAATGTGTATTTTGGAATTTCCCTCCGTTCTCCACGCAAATTGTAACTCCCGTAATTCTTGGAATTTCGAACTCCAATTTGGCAAATACCCCCAGTTAGTGATTATGTGTCTGTTTGCCACTGTGATAGACCGATTTAACAAGAAGTTATAGCCATAAATATATTTGCTGCCCAAGCGCTGTCCGTAGCTATTTTTGATGCTGGGGCATTGGATGACATAAACATATTTAAACAGACACGAATAGACGCGCATAGCCATACATACACTCACATAGACGCAATTGCTATGTAAATGTGCAATAATACACCCTTTACTTTTTATACCTTGTACCCAAAAGGTAAAAGGGTATATTAGTTTTGTGCGAGTGGAAGACACAGAAGGAGGCGTGGCAGACCCCACAAAGTATATATAATCTTGATCAGGATGACAAGCCGAGTCGATATAGCCATGTCCGTCTGTCTGTCCATCTGTCTATATCCAGATTCTCCTAAGCCCGAGAAAGGACGAGTTTGTTCATTTTTTGGATACCAAATTTGGTAATTATAGCTCTTGTACCTTCTGAGATCCTTTCGTTTATACAGACGGTCAGACGGACGGCCATTGCTATATCTACTTGTCACCCTGATCAAAAATATATATATTTTGTGGGGTCTGCCACGCCTCCTTCTGCCTGTTATATACATTCGTAAAAAACTAGTATAGGCTTTCACCCTTTGAGTACAGGCTATAAAAAGAAAAACAAAAATAAAATGATATAAAAAAAATTTCCATTTATTTCTTCACAGATACTGTATATTCAAGTACGCCATCAGCTAAATGCGACAACGCTTTGCATGAAACTGTAAGTAAAAGTAAGAATATTACATCGCTTTACCGATTATAGTGGGTACTTTTATTTGCAGATAAAAGTGGAACGCTTCACACCTAACCCGAGCGTAAAATTAAAATCGAAACTGTAAGTCATACTGTATACAATCAATGGACTAATCAAGTTCTGAAAGCTCCAAAAGTAATAAATAGTTTATTATAATTCTCAGTTGTGGGTTTTGTAATACTTAAGCAATATCCCAAGGGCACATTATCTTTTTCCAGTTCAACTTATATTTTATTCTCTGAAAATTATAAAGTGTAACCTTCACAAAATAAATGTACTTATTTAGTAACATCTTTGCGTCTATTATTCTGACTTACATTTCGCAATGATTTTAAAATACTTACATATACACTGCAGCTCAACTGAATAGGTTCAAAGAATGCTGCCTTAATTTCGTCCAATATTTCAGCTTGTACTGTACATAAATTTTTATACCCTGTACCCGTAGGGTAAAAAGGGTATATTAGGTTTGTGCAAAGTATGTAACATACAGAAGGAAGCATCTCCGACCCCATAAAGTATATATATTCTTGATCATCATGACGACAGAAATCGATCTAGACATGTCCGTCCGTCTGTCCGTCCGTCCGTCCGTCTGGATGAACGCGAGGATCTCAGAAACTAAAAAAGCTAGAATAACCAAAGTTGGCATCCAGATTCTCCTAGATCCGGGTAAGGACGAGTTTATTTTTATTTTTTTTTTTTTAATTTCCCCCCCCTTCCCCCGCTGCAGAATTTCGTCAATAGCGTCCACATTTCAATTGCTACCTAAACCAAACTTTGCACACATAATTTATATATAATTGTCTACTGTTGTTTAAAATTTTATTCAATTTGGTCAATTCTAAGAAAAGTTATTAGCGAAACAAATTCTCGCCAGTACAACCCCCACAAACTGCAGCAACAAGTTCGCTCTTCTTCTTCCTCTTTTTGCTGCTGCTTTGGGCGCATATAACTCAGTGACGGAAGATTACCTGGGTACAGGGTATTACACTGTCGGGCTTGCTCGACTGTAGCGTTCTCTCTTGTTTAAATTATATGTTGTGAACCTTTATTTGTTTACATTTAATAAAGCATAAAAAAGTAACAGGATTTTTTTTTGGCTCATCAGAATAGGTTCAATTACTTCAGTTTTGATTGTGATCGACAGCGTGAAGTTAATAGTGTCAACTTTTTATACCCTGTACCCGTAGGGTAAAAAGGGTATATTAGGTTTGTGCAAAGTATGTAACATGCAGAAAGAAGCATCTCCGACCCCATAAAGTATATACTTGTATATTCTTGATCAGCATGACGAGAGAAATCGATCTAGACATGTCCGTCCGTCTGTCCGTCCGTCTGGATGAACGCAAGGATCTCTGAAACTATAAAAGCTAGAATAACCAATGTTGGCATCCAGACTCTCCTTGGTCCGAGAAAGGACGAGTTTATTTATTTTTTTTTAATTTTCCCCCCCCTTCCCCCGGTACAGAATTTCGTCAATAGTGTCCACATTTCAAATGCTACCTAAACTTAACTTTGCACACATAATTTATATATAGGTATCTACTGTTGTTTTTATTCAATTCGGTCAATTCTAAGAAAAGTTATTAGCAAAACAAATTCTCGCCAGTACAACCCTTATTCCCTAAATTCCGGCATAATTCAGCGCCAAATTGCACTGATAATTGGAAAAAGTCAAAATGTTATTGGTAATTTTGTGCGCAATGAAAAATTTTACGGGAAAAATATGAAAGGAGGGCCTCCACATGCGACAACTCCAGCTGACAGGAAACTAATCCTTAGAACCGCCTCTAATTCTCAACGTTCTGCGGCTAAAATCAGGGAAGAATGCGGTGTAACCGCAAGCCTGGACGGACCGGATGGCTATAACTTCTACTATCACGACTTACGAAAGGAATAATATGATTTGAGTCGAAATCACAGTTGTGTAGGCGGCGTAATGGTGTGGGGTCCGATTTCGTACTATGAGACGTGTGAGCTTCAGTTTTTGTCAACAAAACTGAATGCAAATGTGTACAAAACTGTGATCCAAAAGGCATTTCGTAAGTATACAACGCGATTGTTTAACGACACTGAGAGCCTAATTGACGCCATACAAAAAATCGTGGGATACTATATCGACTAGAAAATTATTATAAGTCCTTAAGATGTCGAATCTTTGAAGTTATTGCGGAAGGTGGAAGTACTAAATACTAATTTACTCGTAATTAGTTTATTTTTATGATTTAAGTTACTAAAGCCATGAAAAATGCGTTTATTATTTGCTTTTTTAGTTTTTAAGTTACTGAACCTATTCAGTTGAGCGACAGTGTATATAAGCTAAAACCTCAAAATTTGACATGGGGTTTCTTCTAGTCTGTGAAAGTGTCGAGTTTTTTATTTTTCTCCGACCCACTTCTGACTCCATCATTCAACGTGTTTCATATTAATAAATAGATATTTTTATATATTCCTTATTTTGAATACATACAGCCATGCCATACAAAGCATCCCCCAACACTCATTGTCCTCATCTACATCGTCAGTTCAAAGGAAGCGCAAGCCAGACAAAGCTGGGAAGGGCTTGCGTCACTTCTCCATGAAGGTATGTGAAAAAGTTGAGGAGAAAGGCAAAACCACATATAATGAGGTAGCAGATGATTTGGTGAATGAAGAATTAAAGAACCATTCTTATGATACTAACTGTGATCAAAAAAATATCCGACGTCGTGTTTACGACGCCCTTAACGTACTGATGGCTATCAATGTGATTTCCAAAGATAAAAAGGAAATACGCTGGATTGGCTTGCCCGCAAACTCTACAGAGGTAGGTAAAATTCATATGTAAATGGAGTAAGCAAAAACACATACGTAAGCTTCTTATAGTGCGCATTTAAAATGTACGTCCTCGCACTTAAAGAACATATGCGGAGAAACATGACCCTAAATTATTAAACCGTGTACCCAAAGGGTAAAAGAGTACTAGTTTTGTGAGAATGTATGTAACATACAGAAGGAGGCATGGTAGACCCCACAATCTATATAATATATTATTGATCAAGGTGACAAGCCGAGTCGATACAGCCATGTCCGTATGTCTGTCTGTCCGTCTGCATGAACATATATGCGTCTCAGAAGGTACAAGAACTAGCTCACCCAAAAAATCGCGCATGGAGAAGTCTAAAGTGAAGACAATGCTGATTTGTTTTTATGATTCCAAGGGTATTGTCAACAAAGAATTTATTCCAACCGGCCAAAACGTTAATACGGTATTCTACCTTGGAGTTTTGAACGACGTGTTCGACGTGTTCGGCCCGAATATCGCGAAGATGAAAGTTGGCGTTTGTTGCGCGATAATGCGCCGTCTCATTGATCGACGCTTGTGACCGATTATTTGACCAAAAATCACATTTTAACCATTAACCACTCGCCGTATTCACCTGATATGGCACCATGCGACTTCTACCTTCACTGGCGGCCATAGCGGCCAACGAGCTAAGACACTCGTTCGACATGCTTTTGGATCGTGCAAAAAGCTGTATTGAAGCAGAAGGAGACTATTTTGAATAAAATGAATTGATTTTGCCGAAAAAACCATTTGTTCTGTTTTTTTTTTTAAAGTCCTTTTTACACACCTTGTATATTCATATGTTTTTTGAATATGAATGTTGTGAATGTGAAATGCATGTTTCTGCTTCTGTAAATCGCAAGAATACATTCACGGAATAAGCTTAACGCTTAATATCTCCCAGAATTCTGCAGAATACATTTGTAGCGTTGTTAGCTGACGAAACCGTTTAACACAAACGGTAAATCGCTTGTAAATATGCGATCATCTGAGATGCTAGAGAAGGGCATGTGTCGGCTTTTTTCGACCCGTCACATCTGCAAAAATTCACGAATCCATATGTATCCGTGAATGGATACATACAATTTTCTTTGTAAGTCGAATAATTAGGAAAATGTCGATATTTAATTTATGATTGTATAAATGTGTATATGGTAGTCCAATTTTAAGGACTATAAGACCTAGGCACACCAAATTTTAGTCCAAGATGCCTTGTGCGAATACGCAGAAAATGTATATTTTGGAATTTCCCTCCCTCCCCCCTCTACCCCGCAAATGCGATTTTCTCTAACTCCCGTAATTCTTGGAATTTCGAACTAAAATTTTGCAAATACCCCCAGTTAGTAATTATGTGTCCGTATGCCAAGTTTCACTATGATAGACCGATTTACCAAGAAGTTATAGCCATAAATATATTTGCTGCTGCAGCGCTGCTCAAGCGCTGCTCAAGCGCTGCCCGCGGCTGTTGTTGATGTTGCTGTTTGGTTGACTGCGAAAATGCTTACACAGACACGAATTGATGCGCATAGGCATACATACACTCACACAGACGCAATTGCTATGTAAATGTGCAATTATACACCCTTTACGTGAGTTCGAATACCGAGAGAGGTAAAATCGATCCAATTTTTTTTTTATTTATTTTTTTTTTTTATTTTCAATAATTATTGTAAATATATGTACAGAGTATTTCAAAGTCGGGACACCCGACTTTAGCTTTTTTACTTGTTTTTAAAAACAGATGTTTTATATTTGCAATCTGTCCTAATGGACAATCAGCAAATTATAATGAAGGAACATATTGGCATTAGGGTTTTGTATTATGTGTGGCTTAGTAGAGAGATGAGTAGATAGGAGTACGGAAGTTTATTTAGTGCTATGAGGTAGGTCAAGTGAGTGGTTTTTTCTTAGACGGCACCTCCTGTCAAGCAGGGTAATGGCGAGGGGATTGGTGTGCCTGTCCAATCGCTCCATGTGGGCTCTGCTCAGCCTGGTTATCTCCTCGTCAACCCATGAGACTCCGAGCTCGTTCTAAATCTCCACGCTTGAGTGGAATGGGTGCGCGTTGGAGATGATTCTGAGCGCTTTGTTTTGAAATTTTTGTATGATATTACAGTTGGTTCGGCAGACAGTGCCCCAGATCCCATAGGTCCACATGGGTTTCATTATAGCCTTATAAATTAAAAGCTTGAAGCGCAGCCTCAGGGTGGACCTTTTGCCAACAAACCAGAGATGCTTTTTCAGCTTTTCAGCTGTGACCTTTTGCTGAGTAGGTGAGGTCTCCAGGTTAATCTCCTGTCTAGCACAGGACCCAAATACTAGGCTGTATCACTGCTAGGGATAGTTGAGCCATTCTGATGGACCAGGGGATTGACCATCATGTTCCATCTCTTTAGCCAGATGTTAGTGGTGTCAAGCTGCATTTGGAGGATGTCAGTGGCAGTCTGTGACGAGACATCGTTTGCCAAGAAGGCCGTGTCGTCGGCATAGGTGGCAGCCAGTAATCTCCTATGATATGATAGGCATGTCAGCAGTATATAGTTTGGGAGTCCTACAACAACATCTACAACAAAAACTACCGTTTGGGTTATGATCATAAACTGCGAGCAAAAAATTAGGGAAAGAAAGTACACCGAAAAAAATGTTGATCACATTTATGAACATTCATTTAATAATTTTTCGAAGTCTATTCCCTCTTCACTTAAAGCAATTCGTAATAAATCTGATAAATTTATGTCACTTAATTTATTCCTATAAACATTTTTAATATATTTAATGTTTGAAAATGCAGCTTCGCACACATAAGTGCTGGCAAAACTTGCTTCTAATTGAAGCATTGAAGATGTTAATAATGGATACTGTTTTTTTTTGAGCATACCACAGTTCCGCAAATAAGACACTGATGTACTCTCACAGTTCATAGCGAAAAAAAATACCGCGTCTCAATCTCGGAAATATTAATTTCATTAGCCATTGTTCAGTTTTAAATCAAATATAAGTAAGATTATAAGTAAATAACTTGACGAAAATCATAAAAGTTTTACTGAAACACTATCTCTATCTCTATATATATAAAACAGTTTGTCCTGACTGACTGATTGGCAATCAACGCACAGCCCAAACGGTAAGAGCTAGGAAGCTGAAATTTGGACACAAGATCCCTCTTATAGTGAAAGTGAGCACTAAGAAGGGGTTTCGGAAAATTCGAGCTCCAAAGGGGGGAAAACGAGCTCCAACGTTTGTATGAAAAATGCGCATGCATACATACATATGTACTATACAAGCATATGTATGTATGCCTGTATATGTATGTAGCATGTACATACAAAACAACAACAACAACTGCAAGTCATTGGCTCGCTCTTCTTCTTTCGTTGTGACCATTTAATGTTAATTGCAAAGGCAAAACGCCAAAAGTTAACAGTTACCGTCGCTAGGCAACGACTGCGTAAGCGATAGTAAAGCAGAAACTGAATAACGGAGCTACGCATATTCTGCTTCGCATTGCGGGCAGATGTATGTATGTATATGATTTGTTCTTATTGATGTCAATAAATAATTAGATTTTGTTATTTAAATATTCTGCTTATTGCATTCAAACTTCGATATTTTGATGGTATCGGTGGCTTCAACTATCGAAAGTTTTACTCTAGCAAATTGAGATGAGAGATATTCCGAGTTTGTGCGTGACCGTATTGACTCAATATGGCACGAAAAGGCTCAAATGTGCATTTAAAATTAGGATATACCCTTATAATTATTCTCCCTTTTTTGCAAATCGGCTATCTTAAAACGTTGCGTTATCTCTATATATAAAACAGCTTGTCCTGACTAATTGGTGATCAACGCACAGCCCAAACGGTAAAAGATGAAATTTGGACTTAAGTATCCTTTCATAGTATCCATCATAGTGTAGGAACACACTAAGAAAGGCTTTTGGAAAATTCTAGCTCCAAAGGGGGGAAAACGAGCTTTAAACAAGTAAAAAAGCTAAAGTCGGGTGTCCCGACTTTGAAATACTCTGTACATATGTTTACAATAATTATAGAAAATAAAAAAAATTAATAAAATAAAAAAAAAATTTGATCGATTTTAGCTCTCTCGGTATTCGAACTCACGTAAGGGGTTTATAATTGCACATTTACATAGCAATTGCGTCTGTGTGAGTGTATGTATGCCTATGCGCATCTATTCGTGTCTGTGTAAGCATTTTCGCAGTCAACCAAACAGCAACATCAACAATAGCCGCGGGCAGCGCTTGAGCAGCGCTGCAGCAGCAAATATATTTATGGCTATAACTTCTTGTTAAATCGGTCTATCATAGTGAAACTTGGCATACGGACACATAATAACTAACTGGGGGTATTTGCAAAATTTTAGTTCGAAATTCCAAGAATTACGGGAGTTACGATTTGCGGTGGACAGGTGTGAGGGAGGGAAATTCCAAAATATACATTTTCTGCGTATTCACCATCTGGCATCTGGGACTAAAATTTCGTGTCCGTACGTCTTATAGTCTCCGAGATATAGGCGATTATACGAATGGAAAATCGGGAAAACCCCCATAGGGGGGAAGTGGGGAGGGAAAATCAAAAAAATAAAACAAACTTGCACTGCGTACACACATAAGGCATCTTTGTGCAAAATTTGGTGTCTCTATCTCTTATAGTCTCTGAGATCCAGGTGTTCATACGGACGGACAGACGGACAGACTGACAGACGGACAGACAGACAGACAGGGCTAGAGCGACTCGTCTCGTCATGCTGATCAAGAATATATATACTTTGTGGGGTCTGCCACGCCTCCTTCTGCCTGTTACATTTTTCAGCTCCCGCAAACCTAATATACTTCTGTACATTTCATGTACAGAGTATAAAAATATTAGTTATAGTGGTCATGTTCGTTTAACGAAATAGTTTGGCAAGAACAAAAATGTAACGGACTACTGAACAATTTTTTGTCAAGAACAGAAAATGTT